GTCTTCCAGTGCTTATACTCCGCCTGCGTGGTCTGGCCCATAAGCACCATCCCAACCTGCAGATTGTCTTCCGTCAGCTCATCCCGGTCCTCGGCCGGCCCGTCATGCATCAGTATCTCACTCCTCCCGGAGCCCAGGTTGAAGTACTCGAACTCCTCGTTGACGACGTGCTCACCTTCCTCCATACGTGCAGCTCGCGCGTTCGAAAGAGCCTCCGATATCCCTCGGCTCACGGGATAGAAGCCCTCGCTTCGATGGTGCGGATGGTACTCTGGTATGGCTGGAAACTGAGTCGTCGGGTAGACACGTCGGCCCAACCACCGACTCAGTAGTCTGGATGCGGCTGAAGCATCCATACCATTGCTGCCCTGGAATTCTCTTCTCGTGCGGTCCTGCTGGATTTCTTCGAGCCGCGCCCACGTCCGCTGCTGTACCGCTTCCTCAATCGCAAACCTAATCTCAGCTTCAGTCATCTCTTCGCTCCCATTCACATCCCCGTTTCCATTTCCATTCACATAGCCATTGCTGTAGCCATTGCCGTTGCCATTACCATTTCCATAACCATTCCCATTGCCATTTCCATTGCCGTTGCCATTGCCGTTGCCATTCCGGTTCATATTCCCCTGCCCAAGTGCAACACCGCCATCATATTCATCATCTTCGTTTTCAGGGCTAGATCGAATTAACTCTCGCCGTATATCCGGTGGTATAACAAGCGGTGATACCGGCCTTCTCGCAAACTCAGTCCTCGAAAAAGCCATCCCATTAGGCTGCATACCATCATACACCGGCTGCGGTATAGACTCTATTCCATTTGACGCCGGAAGCTGTGGCTGCAGCTGTTGTTGTCCTTCAACCGATGTCTCCTGAATATTAGGCTGCTCCTCTTCTTCTTCATGGTGTTGTCGTTGCTGCAGATCCTCAAGCGGTTCATTCATTGCCTCTTGTATTCTCATCTCAAGCAACTGCTGCTGCTGTGTTTGCATTGATTCCATCTGTTCCTGCAACGCCTCTACTTCCCGGACCTGGCTCTGATGCACTGCCAGCTCCACCCTTCGACTCTCCGGTTCCGGCTGGCCCTCTCGAGTCCCTCCTATCATCTGCAGCTCCCTCGTACGCAAAGTCACCTGCACCCGGTCAAGACGTTCTTGATGACTTGCAATCTCTTGCCGTTGAGCCAGCTCTTCCTCCATTGCTTCCCGCGCATGCTGCTGGCGAAGTAGATCTTGTTGCTGCTCCTGAAGTAGTGCTTGTACCCTCTGGGAATGTGCTATATGGGGCCGTACCGTGGGAGCCGGTAGGTGATGTAGATGCATTAGCTGGGGCGGTATCGTCTCCGCCGGTGCTGGCACAGGCGCCGGTACCGGTGGTAATTCTGGTTGACTCTCTTGTTGTGCCAGGATGTCCGTGAGCTCCTGTTGAATCACCTGCTCACGTACCAGTTGTTCACCGACTTGTGCCTGAGGCTGTCCGGGTGTAACTACCCGTGCTTCTATCTCAACCCGGGCTTCGAATTGGGGTTCTGGGTTGACAACAGGTTGTACCAGCAACGGCCCGGAATTCAACTCTCCCAGTGGCTGTTGTTCCAGTCTTTGCTCTAGCTCTGGTCTTGCATGTCGCCCCCGCCCCTGTCCTTGTCCTCGTCCTCGTGGGCGACGTCGCCCCGTTTCTCGGGCTCGATTAGCTTCAGGTCGTTGTTCAGCAGCTGGGCCTCGCTCTACTCCTCTCCCTCGTGTCAGAATTACTTCCGGGAGCTGCTCTCTAGCTTGTCCACGTCCAGCTCCGGATCCAGGTGCTGCTCTCCGACCGCGCCCTCGCCTTCTTCCTCGCCCTCGTCTCGATCGGCTTGCTTCACCTGATTCTCTTGCTTCATCCTTAACCTGTGGTGCAGCAGGCTGTGCCTCAGGCCGTTCCGCCTGCTCAACCTGTGGGACTGGCTCTAGCTGTTCAGCCTGCCATTCCTCTGCCGTTGCAGCTGCTTCTTGCTCTTCTTCCGGGCTAACCCCTTGCCTCTGTTCAACCGGTTGTTGCATTGCCGGGCCAACTTGCTGTCCATCTTGACCCGTTTGTACTTCTTGCGCTTTTTCCACTAGCCCTTGTTCAGCTTGCTCTTGTTGGGCCTCCTCAACGTTCGATTCATCCGGGTCAGCCCGTTCAGTCTGTTCTGCCTCTAGGGTATACGGGCGTGATGAACGCAATACACGCTGAAGTCGCCTCGCTGCAGACGAAGCATGACCATGTGGATCTGCATATGGTGCTGTACCCCTTCTTGAATCCCCTGCTTCACCCGGCCCAGTTTTTCGTCCGTTGTACGCATGTGGTCTCATCTTGCGCTCGTCGCTGTACCCTCTTCAGCCTCTCTTCCCACCTCAAGCACTTTTTCTTGAGCACCTCTGCGTATAATCGTGTCCGGCGGCTGCTCCCCCGGCTGAAGAGACCTGCTCAAATTCGCCTTCATAGGTTTGCGCTGTAGAAACTGCGACTAAATCAACGTCGTATACAAGAGGAAAGTATGATGGATCCTGCCAAGGCGGGAGATAATCCCGAGAAAAAGCTTGGCACTTTTGTTTTGACCTGGTGGCTAACGGCCCAAGTTCAACTAACTCCTCAAGGCAATAGGCAGACTTCAACACCAATCTTCGGAGGGAAAATCAATTGATAATTGATAATCATAGAAATGTTCCTGCCGCTGCCGGCATGAGATATTATTTTCCATTAAGTATCATTAGACTGAACGGTAAGAGTCGATTCACAACGCTGTTCAGGGCTGTTCTGTATCCAGAGCGGACAGCAAGTATAGGCCTAGGTTGACGCCTTTAAGCGCCCTATACTTGACTTCTTGCAGCTCAAAGGAGCTGCCTTGACTTCAATGGTATTATTCTTAGCAGTGGTATAAAAGCCATAAAGCTGTCATCGCGGTTATTGGAAACCCACATAAAGCAACGTCACCACTAGAAAAAATAACATCGAGCTCCATGTCGCAATGGATCAATTGTACAATATCTCAGCAACTAATCCGTATTCATGCTTATAAGACTGTAAATTGGCATTCCGCAAATTCTGCTTGATATTTTGCCAGAGTAAAATTGGAGGAATTAAAGTTTTCTATTTCTTTACCTTACTTAAATAAGTAAAGCCTATATTAATCATCATTGTATCATCACGTGATGGCTCGGTTAACTAGTTAGGTACCTAAACTAGTTAACTAGCGGATGGGTATCAACATAGAACCGGAGGTCAGATTACATTATAAGCACTTTCGACGAACTTCGTGACAAGCTCGCAGCATCACAGGCATTTTTGTTAATATTGCAACCCTTTACCCTTACGCAGAATATACCACTGCCCCTGCCTGATCTTCCTCTGCTGATCTCACTGAAATGCAGACATACATACTAGGCAATTGCCGAGTTGTCAAGCCAGCAGAGTGGGACCTCGATTGGTGGATCATGCCATTACATATCCTTTCTAGGGGGGAAATCAACTCAATTTTACAGGATTAGCCTATGCAGTAATACCCTAGCAAATTCAGAATCAAGCTTCCCCTCTGCAGCAGTTCAGCCTGGCAGCCCCAACCAAAAGGCTGGCTTTCCGTCAAACGTGTTCACCAGCATGATGCGTTTCGAAATATCAGGGCAGCATTATCCATATCCATTACCCCAGTCCATATGACGTGGAGTGTTGTGCTATGTTGATGGTGGATCTGGGATGGAGAGCCTAGCAGAATCTCCGCTGGGCCGTAATGCTTGTTCGAAGTTGCACGTTTTTGACGAAGCGGCTGGAGCACACCACTTTGATGTGTTGTGGTTGGCCAATCTGCTTATGCAGACATTTTCGTACATACATGCGTACACAATATCTAATCAAAAGGTTCAGCCAGCCGGGCCGGACATGATCCTATCTTATATCCGATATCCGGAGGTTTAAAATGCCTAACTATATTACTAATATTAAGGACCAACACCTATCGACTTCTTATATTCTCGCTTCTTAGCTTCATGCATCCTTTATTGGAATGTCGCCGAGGAGCATGAGTTGAAGGAAGATAAAACTTAATGTCCGCCAAAACTAGAGCTGATGGTTCCAGGCCTATATTCAGTGGATGGATACATAACGGCATCCACAGCGGGTGGTCTGGAAAATCCGCCGCGCACTACCGTCCTTAAGTCAGAAATGTGGGCTCTAAAGCAAGGAAAACAACCAAGCTTAGCTTGCTCGCCTACTGGAAAATCCAACAACCTTGTCCGAATTTCGGTGTGTATCCTCTTGGATCAAGCAATGTTTAATTCAGGGGGGATTCATGTTTGAGCTGCATTTGCCTATCAATCGATCCCCAGGTTGATCAATGTCTCAAAATAGTATTATGCAGATGACACAATGATCTACCCGCTATTCCTCACTTTATTTTTACGTCCCTTAATCTAGGACTCGAGAGGATACACACATATGTATACCTGTTACCTCTGACATGGATAAGACGGGCAGCATGACAAAATGACGGACAATGATAAGAGGGCTGATCTATGGATGCCCCTCGTCGTAATCCCATGGATAACCTTCGCATCATCATCAACTTTAACAATACCAAGTAGGAGAAGCGGTACCCCGAGACTGCCGGCCAGCTCTAAGGATCGTCAGCTACCTGTTTTCGGCCGTCTCTAACAGAATGGGGGTAGCATTGGGATAGCCGGGCGGTGAAATCGAATCAGTGGTGGGGAGAATTGGTGGTTGCTAGCTTTTTTTCGTATACTCTCTACACGGGATATTCGTCTTATATACCCTGACACATATACATGGCCAAGATATATAAATGCCGCTCGACATCATCATAAAGGAAGGCGAGTCGTTCTCTCCATCATCATCATCATCATAATTACTATCAGCCTTGGAACATTCATACCAAGCCGGATATTGGCATAGAGTGATCCCATATACATTTTTCGTTTTCAAAATGCCTCTCATCCTTGACTCTACATCCCCCAACCCAGATATCCAGTCTTCAGTCATGGCAAAAGACTATAAACCGTTACTTCCTGCTATAGTTGTTCTCAACAGGCGATATCTGATCACCGGCAATAGCGCTGCTGCCAAGGTGGGAGCAGCTGCGTTCGCTGCCTCGGTCGTCCAGGCATTCGTGGAGAAAGGAATCTTCCTGGGAATGATTCTGTATCAGAGGGACGAGGATATCGTGGATCCCTACATCTCCAGTGAGGCCTTTAGCTCAATTTCTACTGTGACAGTATCTTTCAATTTCCACATGGATCCAAGCAAGGTCGCAAATGCCCTTCTCAGCTGCATCAGAATCCTCAAGGCTACCAACCCAATGGAAGGGACCCCTATGCTATACTATCAGACCGATACTCTGATGGAGTACCATCCTCGTCACATCCCTTCATGTGTCACGCACCACGGCCCCTTTTTTGGGAGCTTTGCAAGCATTTTCTCCAAGGAGGCTGCAGCGCTGGCTTTTGGAAGCATGGAAAAGGCAGAGCACCTGGAACGGCAACAAGACAAGGGAATCGAAATAATCAAGAGCCGAGAGAATGCATTCGTCCTCCAACATTCGCAGCTTCAAGGCAATTTCCTTGCCTCCAGGGGCGTCACCGCCTTACGTGAGCTTTGCCCGCCGATCGAGCTTCTGACTGAAACGGAAGAAACCAAAGACGAGCTCCCCGAAAACATTACTGAGTGGTTTAACTTCGATGGGGTTGTGATGTTCACGGCAGTTGCCCGCCTCGATTACTTTAAAAATATAGATCTGCTTGTTGACGCGGCAATCCTCCTTTGTGCTCGGGGTATCCCTCTCAGGGTCTTTGTGGCTGGGGGAGAGCAGCCAGATAGCATGGAGCACAGGGCACTCATGGACAAGGTTCCACCCCAGTACCAGCATCTGTTCCTGCTGGTCCCCAAGGTCTCGAGATCTGCCTTGTACAGTCTATTCGCTGTTGCACGACACACCGGCATCTTCATCTGTCCATCCCGCTACGAGACTCTTGGTATCACCCCACTGGAGGCAGCTCTCAACGGCGTTACTACCGTTATCTCAAACTCTAGCGTTGTAGAAGCCTCTCGGTTCTACCCAGAAGAATTCCGATTCAGCCCAAACCCAGAAGACCTCTCAAACCTAATTGTTCAGCTTTCGGGGCCGCGGGGCACGTTGGCTAACTCGGGAGACCTGATCCGTCTTCATGTTGGAAAGTCTATCCAGGGCAGCAAATTCCGTTCTGACCTTCTTGACGCATGGTCGGATTTCTCAGTGCAGTACCTCAGTACACTAGTCAACTATGTGCCAGCGGTACAGCCGCCGCTCTGTTTGGAGACAGCGCCACAGGAGTTTGGGAGTGGCATGAAGGGGCAAACACGGGTGGTTGCATGAGCAGGAAGAGCAGGGTCCAGAGCTGCAAAAAAGGCTGAAGAAAGGTATAATTTAGATCAGAGTGGATATGCCATGGAGACAGGATGATTTCTTTTTCTGGTTCTTTTCCATTTTCTTTTTCTTTTGGTTGTTTTCTTCTTTATTCCAGACCTTATCTTAGTTCGTGTCCTTCGCTTCCCTATTTTTACCTGTCATGGCTTCCGAGAAGCAGACAAGCTACTCATTGATGGAAGGCTTTTGTTGTTCTGGAGCGTTGATATACGAATTCCACTTTTCTCATTAAATTTTTATATAGGTAGGTATTGGAACTCTAGAATTCTTTCGGGACGTCGGCTTAAGGTAATCACGTGAATTACAACTTTGCTGGCCAGTTGCCTCTTTGGTCTTCTTCCCTGTCTGCAGGCTCGTCGTACTTCTGCAACGTTATCAGAAATAAAATAAAAAAGCGATGACGAGACATCAGCGGCCACGATGGGGCTCTGCTAACAGATCTGGAATGGTACATGGCTAACTTGAGTCATGCGGTGGGCTCGGCAACTACCATAATCTTAACCGAGCTCTATACAGAGTATGGATTCTCGCCCAGAGTATCTCTCCCGAACCCGGTCAGTACATATGGATGTAATATTACATGGCATGCGGACGAATGTTGATACACAGGCAGGCTGATAGTAGACCCTTTCTAGTGGGTCACAAGGGAAGCGGGCCCTTCCTCTCTTCCGCGCCAGGAACGGATGTCCTTTGCGAACCCGCGCCCCACGCCACGCCTTGGCCCTTACACTCTGGCATATGCGATAAAAGGGTCCATCAGGATAGGCCTGACTGGGGGAGCGACGGTTCTCTGCATCCCCGAAACATCGCCTGGCTTCATTCAACTCATACAGCAACGCCGGATTGGTCCGCCTAAGAGGATCATCACCCTTGCGCTTGGCGATCTTCTTATCTTGACTCCAATTTTTTGACCCCATAAACCTGGGACCCTATTCGGTATTTGGTCTCCAAGTTAGACTGCCGACCTCTACTTGTAGCGAATTGTGGACGCAGCCATCGGTTTTAGCTTGCTACTTGCCCTTCCTTTCCGTTACAACGAAGACGGAACCATCCAAAATACCTCAGGGTGAGACGTATGGTCCTACGTGGCCTTGTCGCTACCGACGGTATATAAGTTCTAGCCTTAGTAGCTAGAGAGCATGACATCGGAGCACAATCTCATTCGGTCATCGAGGTAGACTCTATCTCGGTCTTCCTTTTCGTCTGCAATACGTTCTCTTCAACGGTTTGAAAAAGTTATATAAATAAGGCAAAAAGCATGACGCAAGCACAGGAAAGTCTTGCACGCTTCCAAGCTCGCCGCGAAGAAGCACTTTCCAAAGTGGACGTTGATCTATCCCGAATCCCAGAGAAGTTGTCCGGGAATGTGACAGACATACCAAGACAGTGTCTCTCGCAGGAAGATATTGGCATTACTGAATCATCCGCTCAGTCGCTGCTCGCTTCTCTTGCACAGGGAACCCTCACTGCAACCGCAGTTACCAAGGCTTTTCTCCGCCGAGCGGTCGTTGCACAGAAACTGGTGAGTTGGAGTAGTCGGCTAATCAGAAGTGTAGCAGAAATAAAGGCAAACAAGAACCATCCTGACCTATGTCATCTAGGTCAACTGTGTTCATGAACTCCTACCAGAGCGAGCGCTTGCACGGGCGAAAGAACTGGACGAATATTTTGCAAAGCACAAGAAGCCAATTGGCCCCCTCCATGGTCTTCCCGTCAGTGTGAAGGCTCATATGGGCGTCAAGGGATGCGACACCAGCTCCGGCTTTGTTGCTTGGGCAGGACGCCCATCTCCCGATGATGCCGAGCTTCTCAAGATTCTGATTGCAGCTGGAGCAGTCGAATACGTGAGAACAACGGAACCGCAAGCACTGGTGGGTGCATATCCCATAGAACCCCCACCACATTGTATTTTCTATTTTCAACTTCTACGATCTAATCCTGCATTCGATATTACTTAGTTGATGTTGGAGACAAAAAGCAATGTCACCGGCGAGACAGTGAATCCCCACAGCATTGCTCTGACCCCTGGTGGTTCGTCCGGTGGTGAATCTGCTCTGCAGGCACTTTACGGCAGCCCACTCGGTATTGGCACAGACATGGGTAAGTCTGCTACTTATGAGCGACTGAAGTCCGCTCCGTCCTTGGCAATAACCAGTTAGTTCGGCTCCAGCGCTCACATCTATGTAATATATAGGAGGCAGTATCCGCTCGCCAGCATCAAACTGCGGCTTATACGGGTTCAAACCCACCACGCACCGAATCCCTCTTACCGGATGGACTGCCTACAACATCGGCGTGGAGACAATCTGGGGAACGGCCGGCCCACTATGCCCAACATTTGAAGGCATCAACCTGATGATGAAAGTTATCCTTGACGCTGAGCCTTGGCGCAAAGACCCAAGCCTGCATCAGATGCGCTGGCGAGAACATGCCCAGTGTATTAACCCGAAAGGAGAAAAGAAGTTCAGAGTCGGCGTTATGTGGGACGACGGTATTGTAAAGCCTCTCCCACCGGTAACTAGAGCCCTGCATGAAGTTGTGGCGAAGCTCCAGTTAGTCCCCGGTGTCGAGGTGGTTGAATGGAAACCATTCCACCACGATGATGCAATGGAGATCCTCGTAAGTAGCCTATCCAGATCTCATACATCCCGACTTTTTCATCCGGAGAACTGACAATGTTTCGATTGCTCCGACTTATAGGCAGGCCTCTACTCTCCTGATGGTGGTAAATCATACGAAGCCCTTCTCCAGGAGGGTGGAGAATCTGCTCTCCAGCTTGCAAACTGGGTTGCGAAAGAGAGCCCTGCCGTCAAAGCCCACGATCTCCCTGCTCTATGGAATTTATTGAAGAGACGCGAGGCATACCGCTTCAATTACTTGACCGGTACGTCTGCGTATAAACTACATACCTACATACCCGAACATCCCGAACCTGATTCCACATCTCATCCTTACTCTTTCTCTGCATATCTTGATGTCGAACTAACCTATTATTAACCTTATCTCAAATATATAGAATGGAACAAGCTCGAACCTGACATGGACGTGATTCTATGCCCCGCCCACCCCAATGTTGCGCCTGTTCTCTCCACATCTCGGTACTGGGGTTATACATCGATCTGGAATATCCTTGATTACCCAGCCATTGTATTCCCAGTTACGAGAATCAATGCACAACTGGACATCAAGGAGACAGGATATACGCCTAGAAATGATGACGACGCTTTGTATCAAGATAACTATGACCCTGTGGTCCAAGCCTCGGCTCCTGTCTGTCTTCAACTAGTTGGTAAGAAGATGCAGGACGAGATGGTTGTGCAGGCAATGAAGGAAATCAAGGATGCTATCGGTCTGCCCTTCGTCAATTGCCTGAATGGATGATATTCCCCCCCTTCCCCCTTTTTTTGTTGTCTATATGGAACTGTCTCGGGTTTTATGCAAGGAGGCCGTTTTCCATTTTACTACTGATTCGTGGCTACATTTTGAAAGGGACTCAAAACATTATGCAAACCCCAAAAGAAAAAAAAAGACGATAACCCTACCAATGCTATTTTCTGTGGCAACCCAATTTTTTCCCGTTCCCTTTAACTATCAATACCAGGGTACAAACAAACGAATCTAATAATACTCCCTCCTATTCCTGACTTCATCCTGTCTACTGCGCAGTATGAGGACGGTGAATATCCATATCGACGCTGAAACGCTATGGCTCGTTCACAGCTTCTGGAGTAGCTTGTACACTTGAGCTTCGTGCGCGTGGAGTTTCCTTTTTACCAGGCACGTCAAGGCTAGAATCACAACTCTTCCTGAGCTTCAGTCCAGTCTGCCTCTCGCAGGTTTCGGCGCCGGAGACTTGAAAGGGATGCGGGTGATTTGTTGAATTCGCCTGGTTCACAAATGTTGGGATCAGTGAGTTAGCGGCTGCCACACCAAGTTCCGGGTGCTCTTCTACATCTGCTCGTGCTCTCGAGTTCCGAAAATACGCAACCACCCCCTTGAGCCATGATACAACTCGTCTAGACATTGGTTCAGCTGGTGATGGGCTGACGAAGGTTGAACTCGAGTCGACAAACCGCTTTGTCGGAAGGACCTCGGACGCTGTATTTTGCGAATTTTGTGCTTTCTCCTTTAATCTGCGGATTATAACCAGTGTGAATCCAGTAGTGGAAATGGAGATCAGTATAGCGAAGAGGATATAGAAGATATCCCACTCCTTCTTAGACTTATCAGCGCAGTGCTCGTCAATTAGCCTCTCGTCTCTGCGTGGAAAACACATCCTGCACATCTGGGCCAGTGTGGGCTTCAGCTTGATGCCTGGCTTGGTCACACAAGTCGCAGCAAGATCACCGGATGGGCATGCAAGCTCACGACAGGTCAACGGTCTAGTAGCAGTCTGAGTCGGTCGAGCTTTGCCTGTGGCAGTTGGCTGGAGACTTCCGGTCTGTCTGGGATCCGTGTTGTCCCCGGGCTTGACGAGATTAAACCGAGACTTTTGATCGTCTCGACGCTCATTTTGGGTTTCCGTCGACGACTTGCTGGCAGAAGGGTTTGACTGTCTGTACCAGCGTATGAGGGTGAAAATCGCCTGTCTGCAGGATCTCATCTTTGATCCACTGATTTGAACGAGATCACTTGGTGGTATTTCCGGTGAATAAGGGACAAGCTCTTCAACGCACGTCTCAAGATCCGCCAGCAGTCGCTCAAGGGTGACTCCGTTCATTGTGTCTTTGTAGCTAGTGGTCTCTGCGCTTCTCACATTATCGGTAATGCCTGGCTGCTGAGCGGGCGGAGCACCCAGTGTGATGGTGTCTTCAGAGGCAGATCGGCCAGTAATAGACTCCTTGACAGTTGTATGCACACCAAGGTGTCTTAGAGGAATCGACCAAGCCGTCACTTGGACGAGAAGGCATATCAAGCACACCATGCGCCGGACCGAATACCACATCTTGCTGTCTTCACGTCATGTACAGTGGACAGTCGCTCTCTTGCCATGTTCTCCCTCCCCCTCTTCTTCTGCCCTCTTCTTGTTTTGCATCTTTAACCAGTCAACTGCTCGTAACTTGCTGAAGGCGCGGCCCTGCAGTCATGCCTCCCTTCAAGCAACCGCAGGTGCATAACTTAGGACCCAGGATCAATATCAGCGGCTATTAAGCGAAACCAGCAGCAAGGATGAGGGAAAACACCACGTGTAGAACGAACTAGTTAAAAAAAATATATATATATATACTCCGTAGGTTTAGTTTATGTGCATTATTTACTTATCTTCCGTAGAGTAAATAATGATAGCTTTGCTCCTTTCGACCCTCCGTTCGATAAAGGGGTGGAAAAAGGAGAACTCCCTCGGAAAGGCAGATACGAGCCATCCGCTGGACCTCAGGGTGAAACGTCCCCTGTCGCGCATTTCAAACACGCAAGCCAGTCATCGCTTGCATCTTCCTTCTCGTCCGCAGGCAGGATATACAGAGTATATATACAAAACTCATGGAAGGCCCAGGTCGTGTGCCATTGACGACTATCCTGTAGTTATCTCTAGACGGCGAGATTGAGCCACGCAACGAGGACCGAGTACTCCGTAGACCGCGTAAGAGGAGCACCCAAGAGGACCAAGGATGCGAGGCATGCAGGCCAATATTGAATAACTCAGGGGACCGCAAGCCTGGCCAGCCTGGCTTCTTTTTCCATTCGAGATCGCACATATAACCAAGCTGGTCAATACTTTAGTTATATATACAGCGGCTGACGCTGTTCCCTGCGTCTCGCTGTCCTCGTCGTTTCACCTTTTACAAAGCGGACCGTGTCTAGAGCCTCGCGCGCTCTTCCGTCTGTTTCATCTCATCTTACTCGGGTCTCCCCCTTCGAGGGCCTGCTGCGTGTGCGCCGCCGTTGCTGGCTGCTGGTCGCTGGTCGTGAGTTAGCTTAGCGTAGCTTTTTTTTTTCCCTTGCGGTCAAACTTCGCCCGGCTCTTCCATCATCGATCGCATCGTCAAATCGCCCGCCAACCAACGCACAACCGCCACAAGCACCTCACGGTCTACACCAACCGACGTCCCACGGCAAGAGAAGAGACACGAGCAGCAGGACAACACCCACGACTTCGCCGCTAAGCAAAGAGATGAGCGCCTTCGTGGTGAGTACCAAGCGCCCAGCCCGGTGTGATCCTTGCTGTGCGCCCCGTCTGACCTTGTGCTCGCAGAACAAGCCACCTTCGCATCCTCCCCTCTAAAGACCCGACCCGACCATCCCATCGACCACTTACCACTTCATCCCGAGCGTCTCGAATCTGCCGGCTCTCCTCCAGCCTGCTCGACTCGACCACTCAGCAAAATCCCCCCCCCCCACGCGGAGGGTGAGCTTTACACTACTGCTACTGTGAGGGCCTTCCCCGTGATGCTGCCTGGTTCTGTGAGTGCGCATGGGGGTCGCCGCTTGAAGAAGCAATGAATAGATGGCTGCTGCTGATATACC